GGTGCTGAAAAATTGTGGCTAATACCATTAGAATTACAAAACTCAATAAATCCAAGATTTTCAAATTCAGTTCCATGATTACTTCTAACACTAGTGATAGAGTAACCTTTTTCATTTTGGATTATTTTTGAAAATGTGATGAAATTTTCTAATGCTTCATCTTTAGTACTTAAGAATAGAACCCAAGTGTATCTAGAATAGTCATCTACCAAGACAAATGCATATTGTTTTCCTCCCAAGCTAGTAGTTCTAGTTGGCCCAAAAAGATCTAAATGGATCAATTGTAATACTCTACTAGTTGATACATCATTAATAGATTTAAAAGAAACTCGTTTTTGTTTTCCTTTAGCACAAGCATCACAGATTTTATCATTATCAAATTTAAGCTTAGGCAACCCTCTTACTAAGTCTCCTTGAATTAGCCGTTGCAAAACACTCATACTAGCATGACCTAGTCTCCTATGCCATAACCAACTATCATGCTCATCCTTAGCAACTAGGCATAAATTAGTCATATCAATAGAATCTAAATGCACCATGTAAATGTTTCCTATTCTATGACCAATAAGCATAATCCGATTAGATGCAATGTCAATAACTTTACAACCATTAATTTCAAATAAGACATTGAATCCTTTATCGCATAATTGACTAATACTCAATAGATTATGCTTTAATCCATTCACATATAAAACATTTTTAATTTGTATGGAAGAGGTATTACCTATTGTACCAATACCTTCAATGTGACCTTTTGAATTATCACCAAAAGTCACTTCTCCTCCATTTTTGACGTTAAGCTCTATGAACCGGCTTTTGTCTCCGGTCATGTGTCTTGAGCATCCACTATCAAGGTACCATGAATTTGAATTTGTTTCCCGTGCCTTGTAGCAATGCTCCTTTCCCTACAAACATAGATTAATTTTTGATTTTTGGTACCCAAATTCTTTTGGGTCCATATTCATTAGTTTCCAAAATCCTAGTTCCCTTAGGTATCCATTTGTGTAGGATATCTTTATCTTTAGTAGTAATGAGTCCTTTAGGAACCCATATACTTCTAAAGATTTTACCATTTAAGGTTCGTTGAGGATATCTATGATTGTAGTTTCTAAAATCTTTTCTAACAAAGTTGGATTTTGAATTTTCTCCTTTTTCAAAACGTTTAGTTCCAACTTTATCAAAAGAAGTTTTAAGATCATCAATTTTCTTTTGATGATCATCATTGACCTTTGAAAGTAAATTTTGCAAATCTAAATTTTTCTTTTCAAACTCTTCTAGTTTGATTTGCAAATCTTTGATTTTACTTTCAAGATCATTGTTGGTTTTGGATATGAGTTTATTTTCATTTTTCAACTTTGAAACATCATTTTTATATTTTAAAAATAATTTCTCATAATCCGAAGCCAACCCATTATATTCCTCTAATAGCTCATCATAAGATAAATCATCAAAATCAGATGAGTTAGAGGTTACCTTAGAATCTTCCCCAAATGCCATTAAGCACAAGTTTGCTACTTCTTTTTCTTCTTCATCGGAACCTTCTTCATCGCTCCATGTAGCCACATGAGCCTTGTGCTTATTCTTTGATTGACCCTTCTTCTTCAATTGTGGGCAATCATATTTGACATGCCCTGGCTTTTTGCATTCATAGCAAATGATCGGGTCCTTCTCTTTTGGTTCATCTTTGAGGCCTTCATTTCGTTTGAATTTTCTTCCTCGGTAAGGTCTCATCATTTTTCTGAACCGTTTGGCAAATAATGCCATTTCCTCGTCATCATCATCATCATTAGAATCACTCTCATCTTTTGTGGATTTGAGAGCAACTCCAATGTTTTTCTTCTTCTCCTTCTCCTTTGGTGTCTCTTCAACTTTATCAAGGTCCACCTCATCTTCAAGCATCATCTCATGAGTGAGGAGTGAACCGATAAGTTCTTCAAGAGTTAAGGACGATAGGTTCTTAGACTCGATGATTGTCGTCTTCTTTGATTGCCATGATTTTGGGAGGGAGTAGACTAACTTCCTCACAAGCTTTTCATTTGAGATGATCTCTCCATATGATTTGAGACCATTGACAATCGTTGAAAATCTATCCATCATAGCTTTGATGTCTTCATTTGGTTTCATCCTGAAATTTTCATAGCTATGCGTTAGAATACTAATTTTTGATTTCTTTACCTCATCGGTACCTTCATGTGTGACTTGAAGCTTGTCCCATATTTCTTTGGCGGTTGTACACGATGAAACTCTTCCGTATTCATCTGGTCCAAGAGCACAAAAGATAATATGGATGTCTTTGGAGTTGAGCTGGAACATTTTTGTATCTCCTTCACTCCACAACCTTGGATGAGTGATAGGCTTAATGTATCCTTCTTCTACGGCATTCCATGCTCCCATGTCACTTGCTTGAATGAAGTACATCATTCTATTCTTCCAATAGGCGTAGTTAGCTCCATTGAAAAAAAGAGGCTTGTTGACGGGCATCGAATCGAGACCGGAGTCGAAGTTTGAAGCGGAGGCCATTGATGACTTTAATAATCGATATAACTCTTCCCGAATCGACTCAAGAGGCGATAAAACCTTCAAATGAGTTAGGCTCTGATGCCAATTGTTGAGTTAATCGAATGACGAAATTGGCCAAGAGGGGGGTGAATTGGCAATAAAAAATTTGTGGAAGCTTTTGCAGAAAATTGAAAGTAATTGCACAGCGATTTACAGTGGTTCGACTTTCTCAAACAAAGTCTACGTCCACTACCTTAGCTATCCACACTAAGGATTTTCCAACAAATTCACTAATTTGTTCTTTCTTTTGAGGCCAAAGAGATAACCTTACAATTCCCTCAAGAGTATACCCCAACTCTTGAGAACACTCTTTTCTCAAAGAGAAGATTACAAATTTGCAAACTTACAAGAAAACCTCACAAGGTAAGATGTTTGCACAATTATAGAACAAAGAAAAGAACACTCAAAGATGAATACAATTGAGCACAAAAAGTGTTCTTGAAAGCAAAATGAATATTGAATGAAAATAGGCTTGAAATGCTCAAACTTGAGGTTTGATGCTTTCTCTTTGATTCTCTCTTGATTCTAGTTGCTTGATGTTTCTTGTTCCTGATCAATGGCTTCTAAGCTTGCTTAAATACACCTTGGATCACTTCTGAACGTTGGGGATGATTAGAGAAGATATTATAGCCGTTTTAGTGTGAAAACATTTAATAAAACAGCTTGGAGCGTGGGGGGAATCGGTTCCCCATCATAGGGAATCGGTTCCCTAAGTGTAAAATTCAAATATTTCGACCGTTGAATAGGGGGGAATCGGTACCCCCTTGGGGGGGATCGGTTCCCTCCGAGCATACTGGAATTATCGGAACAAAAATGTTTAGGGGGGAATCGGTTCCTCCTATGGGGGAATCGGTTCCCTCCGAGCATTCTGGAAATCTCGGAGCCAAACCATTCAGGGGGGAATCGGTTCCTCCTATGGGGGGGAATCGGTTCCCTCTGAGCAATCTGTAATTTTTGGCTTTGAATTGGTTCGAAATACTTTGTAAAATTATTTTAAAATTGTTTTATGATTAAAACTTAATTTTACACTTAAGTAAGGATTAAAAATGATTTTTGAAATATTTGGAGTAATGTTTTGATATTCGAATAGTTATATCGAATATACTTAGAAAATCATTTGGAAAATCTTAAAATCAATTTAACTTAATTTGTTATATCGAAATATTAAAATGTTTCAACAGTTACTTTTGGATTAGGTTAAATTCGGTTCGTGTTGATTTTGATTCGGGTTGCTTTTGGTTCCGGTTGCTTCAATTCGGGTTATTTTTTGTTCTGGTTATTTTCGGTTCGGGTCAAATTGGATATGAGTCCATATTGGTTCAACTAAATTTTGGATCGGGTATGATTCAGAATTCGGAACAAATTTAATCATCAAGTTCAGGATAATATCGGGTATTGAATCGAGTAAATCAATTCAGATAATCAGGCTCGGGTCAAGTTTACCATGTCTAATTACTTTCGCATAGCAAACAAACATCATGTATTAACTCATTAATAAATTAATGATCAAATGATATAATTAAATTTAAAATTTAAATTTAATACCTATTATATTTTCGGAAATCATCTTCAAAAAATATATCTAGTAAATTTGATATGTATATGATTACTCAAATTGATTTACTCGATCTGGGAACCGATATAGATTCGAACAAGAAGATCCAAAATTCATCCGAACCCAAAATAACCTGAATCAAATCGAAATCAATCCAAATTTTAGTTGGACCGAAAGTAATCCGAACCGAAAGCAACCCTAATATAATTTACACATATCTGGTCCAAACCGACCTTTGACCCTTTTTAACCGATAATTGAGTATGAGTAAATGAATAATTTATTTATTTATTTATTATTATTTATTTGTAGCACAGATAAAAAAGTAAAATGGTTTTTTCTCATTTATATTATACTACTAGTTAACCATCACTTCTAGTAATAGTTTAATGATTTAATATAATCTTTCTTCGATTAAAAGACCATCACTACTAGTATTTCAGTAACCATGACTTTTCGTCCAATTCAAAATAAATAAATCATCAACCACCAATGAAACAATACCATATTTAATTTAAAATTCGAGGATAGGTTTAATATAAAAAACTAAAGTTTAATATCTAATAATATAATTTATCCTAAATTATTAAAGCATTAAATGTTAAGAATAATATCATGTAACAAGCTTGGCTCTCCTTCGGAGGCCAATAGAGAGACGCCAAGCATCAAGAAGGTGATCCGGTAGGAATCGTGCAAAACACCATTGAAGGGCGTGAGACCAATAGGGGGTGCACCGTGCTTCGTAACCTATTTGACGGATGCCGGCTTTGGCATAATCTCTAATAATCTATTATTTCGTTTTGATTATCTAATTAATTAAATTTTTTTATAAAATCGTGTTTAATGTTACGTTTTGGTCACCCATTATTAAAAATTTAATAAAATTATTAAAGTGATATTTCTTTGATTTTTTCAATAATGATGTGGTATTATCTTATGATAACATGTAAACATCATCGTTAATTTTTTAACAGTGGTGACCAAAATGTAATATTATGTATAATTTTGATATATAAAATATAGTTAAATGACTAAATTTACTCATTTTTCTTTTTTCTTAAAGTCAAGTATTGGTCCATTCTCTTAGTTTATATTGCACAAAAAGAGATCTCGATAATTGATCAACGTACCTGCATTTCATGTATAACAATGATCTTGTATCCGAATATAATATGGTAACGGTATATGCTTAATTTTTATATTATATTTGTATTTAAAATACTAATATAATATTTAAAATTTTTAAATGTAAAATAAACTTTTGAATTATTAAAAATAAAGATAGTTTTATAGATTGTCCTTAAATTATTACTTTCATTTTAAATTAATTCTCAAATTTTAAAATATTTTATATCAACATCTAAACTATAACTATGATTCTAAATTAATCTCTATACTTTAAAATATTTTATATTAATTCTGAAGCTATTAATATAATTTTACTTTAATCATTCATTAACATGTTAAACTATACTGATTAAAAAAATTAATATATTTTTAAAGGTTTTGGAATTGAACATGTGATTAAAAACTTCTCAAGGCCATCAAAAAAATTAGGATGTCATAGATTCGATTCTCAAGATTTTAAAAAATTAATAGAGTTAAAGATACAAATGATGAAAATAGAATGATATTGATAGTTTGAGGACTGATATAAAATATGTTAATATTTAGGGACTAACTACAATGGGGTCATAGTTTGGGAATTGATTTTAAATATTTTAAAATTTATAGATTAATTTAAAATAGGCATAATAACAAAAACAAATACTTCAAACGTTTGATTAAATAGTCACTTTGGTTCATATTTTGTTAGAGTATATTGGCATCAACATTTCATTTTAGGGCAAAAAGGTCCCTCCATGGATAGAAACGATTAGTAAACAAACGATTAACGTTCTAAAATAGGAGATTTTTATCTTTTCTTTTTTTTGAAATAAAACATTGGAGGACAAAATGCTTAAAAAATAAAGATTAAAATAATTATTTAGTCAAATATTAAAAATATTTTTTAACATTATAGCTTAAATAGAGGTACTAATTTAGAGACCTCTTGTAAAATTAGCTCTTAAAAATAATAAGAAAAAAACTTGTTTATTATTTTAAATAATATAAATCCTAAATTTAAATAAAAGATCGGAGGGAAATAAAACTTTAGTTGGGAATAAACAAAGGAAAGAGATGTGAAAAACGGATAGGCCGCTTACGCTTTTGTTGCAGCATAGACAGTGAAAAGAGGATGCGAAGGCACAATGACGGAAGCACCGGAGCCGACGTTGACAACCGCACCGCGCTTTCTATTTACCATCGCCGGCAGCACCGCTCGGCTAACCCAAGTCGTCGCTTCCAAATTAACCTTAACAATCCCCTTCACCACTTCCTCATCCACCTCATGTAAATACATGGCTTTAGGGTACGTTATCCCCACATTGTTAAACAACAAACCGACTTCCACCCCTTTCATCGCCTCTTCTATCAACTAGACGCCGGCGGATACGTCGCCGTAGAAATCATGGGCCACAACCTTGATCTTGACAAGCGGGAATTCCGCTTGGATTTCGGTGGAAACTGTTTTGAGCTTATCTGGGTTCCTACTGACGAATATTAGGTTGAGGTCTCGGCGAGCAAGTTGATTGGCAAAGGATTTGCCTATGCCGTCGGTGGCTCCGGTGATAAGAGCCCATGAACCGTACTTAGAGAGGTCCTTAGGGGACCGAAAAAGGTGGTGAAAAGTTTGAGAAGGGAAATGGAGCGGTTGAGGAAGGAGATGAAACCGATAAATGAGACGCCAAACAGCCATAAAGGTTGCATTGTTCGCGGTGGTTGATGGTGCAGAGAGCCTTTGTTGGTTGCAATATCGAGGTTTCGGGTTTATTAATATTGGCTGAAGATGAGTCGTTTAACTTTAGGTCGTTGATTAACTGAAATGAAACAGTAACGTTTCATTAAAAAAATTATATGTTATTGAGTATTATTATTTAAATATAAATATAAATTAAATATTATTATATTTTGATATTTAAATTTTTAAAAATTATATTTTTTATTTTTTAAAAAATAGACATATAATATATTAAGTCAAATATACAACAGAAGAAATACACTCTGAATAATTATAATCAAAATATAATGAAAAACAATAAACATAAACAAAATTGATGTGATTATGGACATCTAGGAGTCGTTGTGCTTTAATATATGAATTATATAAAAAAATTATTTTATTTTATAATATTAAATTAGATTCATTTATTAAAATTTGGTTTGATCATGATTAAATTCCACTTTAACAACTCTAATCTAATATAAAAATAAAAACGAATTGGTGGAGATTTCTCTATTAAAATTGAATACCTATTAAAAATCATATTAATTCAATATTTCACTTTAAATTTATAATTTAATTTGAGTTTAAATTTAAAATTTAATTTGAGTTTAAATTTAAAATTTATAATATATATTTTTCAAAAAAAACCATAAAATAATAGTAAAATACTTGAATCACTTTTAAAATACTTAATTTTAACACTATTAATATATATTTAACAAATATAAATATCAAATATATATAATTTGATTCAATGTATAATATGTTAAGTAAACTTTGATATGATGCACATGAAATTTTAATTTTTTGTTTAATTATATATATATATTATTTTAATTAAATTTGATGTATTTATAAAAAAATATTTTATTTTAATTATTTGTTTAAAATATATAATAGTAAAATAATACTATATTAAAAAATAAATGAAAATTTTGTATATTTAATTATATAAAATTAAAATTCATATATTTTGCCACTTACATTTAACAAGTACATATATAATTTTAAAATTTATTTCTGTTAACGTATTTTGAGGTATAGAATTCATTACACGTCAATGAATAATTTGAGCTGAAAATAACACACCTGTCGCCTAGTGAATGGGAGTTCATTCGGTCCAATCTTGACAACTCATCCCCAGAAATTAATGGTATTCCCAATTTTTAGTAAAATTTCCATAAATAAACATTCGATAAATTAGGAATTTTACTTGCTTAATCAAAATTTCATATCTCAGTTAGAAAATCGTCTCACTAAACGAATAAAGTAATATTTTTTATAATTTTTAAGTTCCAAACCAATTTAAAAATATATAAAAACGAATCATTCCTGAAAAAGCATAAAAGTTCACACACTCTTTAAACTACAGTTGGATTCACGTGCCCAGTACAGCTACTGGGGATCAATTTAGTGACACTTGTCGGTCTCACGAATGATACATCAATGAAATTTAGTTGAGAAGCAATTTTTAATTTGTAGGATAACTCGTCGTATCATTCGGTTTTGTCGGTCCTTAAAATAGGATAAAACATGCATGAAATATTAGACTCGTTTGTGATATGATTTTACTTACAAAAAATATTGATAATTTACAAATCCTACATCTATTATGGGTATGGATCATGTGCATCTTGGCTTGAGCCACACGAAAAGTGGTCATGGTGAAAGGGATCATCAATAGCATGAACACAACTCAACCTGGGTGAGAAGCTCATCTGTTCCATTTCATGGCCGTTGGATCTTACACTGGTTTCATCCTTGAGTTTGATGAAGTACATGGATGACCAGTAATCTTTTGCCAAGTTCTGTAGTAGAAAATTTAGTTTATGAATGGAAGTAATAAAAATGATTTATGATTACACAAAACCTACCGTTTTCATCAACTGTATTAGTTCGTTTCGTGCATCGGTAAAGAGATCGGGATGTGTTAGGTCAGTGGTGTTCAAGATCGCTTGCCGGCTTCTATGAGATATGTTAACTTCCATTACTGCACCTGTATGACAAAGTTGACCAAGGTTATATAAAAGAATCATGGTAATCATTACAGAAAACATGGTTTCTCGAATGAAACAAGAGGATCTGATAAAGGTCGAAATCGAGCTTGGTGAATGAAACGATCATGGAAGTAACGAACCTGCAATTATGTATTTATTAATGATATGTCGTGCCATGTAAATCCTTCTTACAGGGTCATCTGTTGGAATTTTGCCAAGTTCATGCACCTCTTCAAAGAAATGTACGCTTTCCCCGGCCAAACAACTACGATCAAGATAAAAACTGTTCAATTTTAATCTTCTTTTAATCTTTTAAGATCATAAATAATGTGTTCTTCGGTTGCTACAGAAACCGTTGCCCCTTTCTTTTTCTTTTGGGTAGTTGTAACTTTTGTCAAAATCTAACCAAGTGGAGCTTAGGGAACATGTGAAGTGTACCTGTCTGCAAATGCCATAAAAGACTGACGGAACTTTTTGTCTGTAAGAAGCTTATCCAATGGTTCGTTGGGATCGATGGCAACAGCTTGTTCTCTATGCAATAGCAATCCGCTATCCGGTATTCCCAGAGCTTGACACATTGTTTTGAATTTTAAAGGTCCTTTTTTTATGAAGCTGATTTGTGTGAGCAAAGGCTGAGAGATCGACATGGAAAAGAAAACCAGTACGAGAATGCTTGCCTGTGAAACATAGCTGAACCATGTTAACGAAAACAAGAAAAACACACGACTCCATTAACTTGTAAGGCAAGCCAATCAAGAGGCAAAGTAACCGCATCAATAACAAACATACCGTAGACAAAAGGAGAAATCGGGAGGTGACTTGAAGCCATGAGATATCTTCGTGAACTTCATTCAAGATGTATGCGGAAATCCAGAGTCCTGAGAAGAACAAAGGGCATAAACATGTACACATATGCAGAAAAAAATGAAGGAAACGTATGCCTTCCAAGGAACAAGGATAAACATGTACCAATAAGTGAGGCCGAAACAAGTATTCCCCGCCACAGGTCTTTGAGCTCATCAAACCTAAATTCTATGTGCCGAATCGCCCCCGTGAAAATGACCAAAACAGCGATATACAATGTGTGGAGACATATTGCAGCGATTATCCAGTAAGTTCCCAAGTGGCACCTGTAATTGAGAGGCTTCATCATGTGAACAACTACAAAACAGTAACTCCAGTTAAAAATGCGAATCACATAAAAGTGAAAGCAAAAACGAGTCAAAAGAATTATCATAAAAATCATATTGGACTGATAACAGAAAAGAGTCGAAAGAATTATCATAAATAAGCTCGAGCCTTGATGATTGATCCGCAAATTCCAGTGTGTCAACAAGAAAATATTTAGTCGGTGCAGGAATGACTCGAGTGCAACAGTCTTGCCAACATAAGTTCAGACAAACAATCGAAACAACTTTTTTAGAGAAAGTTTTGCTAACAGGGCACTTAAACTTCATTGCAGTCCGTTCAACCTAATGAAATAGATAGGTTTCTAAGATTCTTACTCGCAGCGCTGGCGATCCACGGCAAGACAATTAGTGGAAGAAAAAAGTGAGATCGAATCGGTGGTAAACGCCTCCTGAAAAAATCAACAACATATAAACTAATCAATTTTCTCCCTAAAATGGCATCTTTAACCAGAAACATCTCTGCAACAATTAAACACCTCCAATGTGATACAAACTTGTGGTTTGGCAGCAAAACTCAAGTAAATTATCATATTGACTGAGTAGAAATTTGCTCTGTAGCAAACTTTCACAGAAAAATGCAGTTAAATTTATTGATTAAAAACTTACAGCAGTGCCCATGACTGAAAAGTTTCACATAAAATCGACACAACAGTAAGTTGATTCTCAATTTCGTCATTTGTTTAGTTTCGATCTTTACAATTGGTCTTAGAATCTGCAAATAGAAGGAATATACACTTACTTAACAAAAGCATAGTATAGGTGAAAGGCCTGTGCTATGCGGCAGCTAATCAACAAACCAAATCCGAGTGGACCTTCAACCCATACTGAAATCAAAACATACTTCAGATTATTTCATAGAAAAACTATAAAGTAAATTGCAAAGTAGTTTAGAGATTTATAAACCTGCCCAAACATAGCAAGACAGCCACCAATGGTTCTTTTTGTACTTGAGAAAATTACCAGCCATCTGTAAAAAAGAATATGGTTAACAATATAATGAAGTCATTTATTGTGTGTGTGTGTATATAAGTGACAAGGAAATGGAAGCCTATATTGTTTTACCACAATTCCTATCAGAAAGTTGAAGCTGGCAATAACTTGAATGACTGGAATCCAAAAGGCACTGCCTTTTGCACTCGGAACATTGTGTATCAAAAACGGAAAGCTTGACCTCACAAAAAGTCTGCGGGAAAAAAAGGAATTTAATTTCATCGAGGCATAACATCAAACAGATGATCCCCAAACAAAACTGCACATCTAAAGACCAAAAAGGGGTGAACTTGAACAAAATGAAATTTTTATGAGATCTAAGAAAAGGGGTTTTAATAAAGAAGGTAAAGGGACGTACAGAATCATGGAGAATATGGCTATGGAAACAGCAACATAATCGGAGGGGCAGCCACCATGAACGGCGGAGCAGGTGGCCATCGTTTTCCTGTGACATATATGATTGGTAACAAATCAAATTAAGGAATTGAACGTTGAATATTCTTCAAGTAAAAGGAAAAGAATTGAATAATAAGTCATTGGTTGGGAAAAACACGGAAAGTGTCCTCGATTTCCAGTGCCTATGAGTCGCCATCGTTTCCATTTCCACATGAAGGCTTTCTTTGACTAATTATTTAATCAAAGCTATATTTGCCGAAACCAAGATTTTATTTTTGGTCAAAGTACATAAATAATCCCCGTTTAAAGATGTTTGTTGAGTCTCCATTATTGAAGATTATAAAATGATCATTTCACTATTTATATGTTTCAAACTCATTATTTTTCGTTAAAAAATTGATGATTGTCTGAGTTAAACATTAACCTACTAAATGGAATATGATAAAATTATATTTGATGACGTCCACAAACGCTTTATTACTTTTAAGCATTAGCTTGACAATAAAATATTTCAAGTATTGACTCAATTACATAATATAAACGAAGACTCGATTTATAAAATATAGTTCAAATGATTCTAAGATCAGATTTTATTATATTACACTCAACAGGTTAACATCCAGTCTTTAGACCTTCATTTTTTTTAATAAAAATAGACGAATTTAGAACATATCAATAGTATACGACCGTTTTGTATGCTTTAATAGTTAGAAGACTAAACAAAGCAGTGCTCTATAATAATGGACCATTTTGTACTTTACCCTTTATGTTTTAGGTATCTGTACATATACACGTGGCTTGTTGTACTTCAACATTGGTCTGCGTTTTGTTTTGTTTTTTAGTCATCGTTGTCCGTATTATTCACTGATTAACACGAGAGCCCACGGATTCACTCATGTGTCATTGGCACGTGTGTGTCACTTTCCGTTCGAATTTTACTGCAGTAGTATTCCCTTCTTCCCTTTTAATCAAATTGTATAATTTTCAAGTAAGATTTTAAAATTTATTTTTGCCAAAATTTATTCAAAAAAATTAGTATCAATTGTATTGTTTTATAAAAACAATTTTTTAAAATATATTTTAAGAATATCGTTCAGCTTCTTCATTCCCTTTTAATTTTGTTATTTGATAGTGATTGACCGTTAATTAAATAATTATATTTAAAATATAATTGAATGTAAATACCTACAACACTATATAAAAGAATTAGACATTGAAATGCCAAATTAGTTAGGAAGGACATCAAATATTTTATAAGGGAAAATTATGGCAAAGAAAATTAGGCATCTTTACATAAATAATATTTTTTTAATTATTTAATAAAATGAAACTTAAGATATTAATTATATAAATGGCACTCATTAAATAATTGATTGTGTTATGTAGATCAAATGTCGTCTAGTTAATCGCGTTTTTTAAAAACCGTATTCACATTCAAATAACATAATTATTTAAACTTATTAAATAAATTAATTATTATTGAAAACTCGTATGTTTATATTTTATTTATGTAATTGATATATCATTTCTTCGAATTTTAATTATTTTCGTATCATGTCTTAGTTTATTGCACATTTTTGTATGATTTATTATAATCATTTAATTTTAATTTTAAATTCATTGAGTGGTATCTGCGATTAAATGGAGTGTTGTTCTACCTTGAGATCACGAGTTCAACTAGCTGCGTTTGCATGGTTTGTGTACCTTATCAATAATTAAGAAATATTATAAATATATACTAAATTGTAATCGTCCAAATAAACTATTAAAAAAGTAATTCTAAATTCATTTACCTAAAAATCAGACCATTTCATTATATAATGTGCAAAATTATAGCTATAATCGCATCCCAGCACTAGGAAGATACATGTACTCTAACATTAGTAAACAACAGGAAAGCGCATAGAAAAATTCCATGAAAAACATGGAAACACTATAAGCACTAAAAAAGCCAATCAAAAGTAAAACGAAAATGCCAACAAATAATGACAGCATTAACTGTGAAGTAGTATCAGTTCTCCCCAAGCCAGTAGACTGAATGTGATCTCCAGATTTTCAAGCAAAACAAAACCATTTTCTCTGCCATGGGATTGAAACAGAACAATTTAGTAATGAAAAATGATCGAGTAAACCCCAAACAAATGTTCGAATCTGTGGAGAGCTTAAGCTAACCTTAATGGAATGTTTATGTTTTCTCTTCTGTTTGTTCTGTGATTTTAGGCTTTCAGTGGCAACAACTGTAACACTGCCCCCAGTTCTCTTCTCATCTCTAGCTATGTTAAAAATGGCAGTAAATCCTTCTGCTGAAGCCGGATCGTTCTCATCCCATTCCCCGAATTTCGGCAGAGGCTGAGTTTTATAATGCTGCAAACATGGAACAAAGAAGATTGAAGAAATCAACCTGCAACAGAAAACCCAGAAAGAAAAGAAAGATTCTTGGGGAGAGAATGAAGGAGAAACTTACGGATGCCATGAAATGATTGAAGAGTAAGTGGGGAACTGTGAGGAAATGAAAAAAGTTGTTTTTTTAAGGATGAATTTATGGATGATGAAGATGTTGCTGGGATTATTCAAAGGCGAGTGAATTTATATCAGTCGAAAACAAGAGAATTGATTTTCCACGCGGATCAAACTCGTCTGAGACACGGGATATTCTTATTTAATTCAACTCTGTTTCAGGTGGGTCGTCATTGGTGGTAGACTCCACCAATTTTACTCGGTATGAAATGGTGGGCTTTAAAGGGTTTTTAGGAATGTTGATCCCTAATTGGGTATTATGGGTTTATTCATAAATATAAGTCATGTGTGAACACTTCAATTCTAACATCAATTTTAGTATGAGATAGCTCTCATATTAAATGCCACCATTCCTATTAATACGTAAGAAATTCAAAGGTTCAAGATGATGTGAGCATTTATATCTTATTATAGTAAACTTAAAAATAATTGCGTGATAATCTAACAAAAAAATATTTAATAGAAAATTGTCATAAAGAAAATAATAATAAATAAAAAATCGTTGAGAGGATGTAGAGTTTCTAAAAAATTTCAAAAGAACTTTAAAAGATATGAAATCGTTCGAAGAATGTGGAGTATCTCTAAAACTTTAAGAGAACTCTAAAAGCTAAGGGGTTTAGATGCTTCAAGACTCAATTGAGTAAGGTTCTTGCTTCTAGGGAACTTGTGTAGAGGATTTCCCGAAGGCTTCTAGAGAACTTAAACGAAGATATTGCAGTTGAATGTTAGTTTTGAAAGACATATTATAAAATAATTCAAACTGGAATTAAACTGATAGCAGAGTTTATCGAGGACAATATAGTTTCCTTAAAACATATTTGTCCTTTCTTGGGTGTTTAAGAACGTCAGACATTTATCAAGGATGCAACAACTGTTCACTGGTAGGTAACATTGCTCCAATGATGAAATCGAACTTAATCTTACCTTTTTCTGTCACTCAATCATTTTGAGTATATCATACACCGTTTTAAAGATCTCGTAGAATAAAATATAAAACTATAATTTTATTATTCAAACCTTCAATTTACTGATATATAATATCCTCAGTTGCAACGTATCCATTTTTTTTCAACCCATCTCAAGAATAATTCTATTATAAGGTCAATATGAGATTTACAATTTTTCTTTAAAGTTTTGACTCATAATATATCGATTTGCTTTATTAAACTTGGAAATAATCCAAACATCATTCCACAAATATGCTAATCAAAACCAAGGACCATATCTTTCCATGAGTGTGAACATGTAATTTCATCAAAGGTAGAGGGGAAAAAAAAGAGCTTTCAAACAAGCATTATGGTGGATCAAAATGAAATACATACATGATAGTTGCATGGACCCAACATGAGATGCCTGCTGTGCAGTTACAATTAGGAGATGATGGTTTATCAAGTTAAGAACTGAAGTCAAACTCATTGGTTGGTGATGTTGAACTGAAGAAAGTCTACTTAAGCTACTAATCAAGTGATGAACATAAACCAGAAAAAGAAAAAGAAATGAAAAAACACCAAAACCAACAAATTTCCCACCTAGTCAGTCGATAACATCAAAATTTTCTTTCGTTGTTTATTCTATTTTACCATAATATTAACAATTATTGAATATTATAATATTTTATGAGAATAGCTACTCTAAAAAAAGAATAATTCACAAATTTAATCATTTTTTTTATCTTTGGCACAAGCAGGACGAAGCATATACGTACTTAGACCTAATAATGAAGGAACTAATTTTATTTTTATTTTTTAAAAAAATTACACTCTCTTAACTAAATCGTGTAATCTTACAATTTCGACCCAACCAAACAAGTTAATATAAGATGTTGATATTTTTCACAACATTCAGTAAATCAAACGTACCCTAAAAGGAAATGCACTAAAATTATAGCCAGGCAAAATTCTGAAGAGCATAAAATAATTATATCAAATTTGCCTATTATCAACCACAAATTGCAATTATAATCCCACTCGAACAACGATGGCACAATGGAATTAATTATTATTACCTTGACAGAATGAACCTTACATTCTCTGCGGTTACTAAAAATGCTATCGCAGAGGATGTATATGGTGCTGAGAATGTCCACTAACCTATAAGCCTATGAGGCACCATCGTAAAAGAACAGAGTTAGACGATATAAAACTAAAATGAAAAATACGGGGAAAGAATTTATTACAATATTTTTATGTATGTCGTCGTTCCAGAGAATTGATGACCACAAACTTCGCTACACGATGGTCCCCAGTAGCCATATATGCAGGAGAAGACAATAGGCAATGAAGCCAAGCCTTGCTCTCGGACGACTGCTTAGAACTCGGCTGCCAGATACCCTGTAGCAATTAACAACAGACATATGATCGTTATAAACAAACAAAGTGAATAGAAAGCAGGAAAAGTTCCTTTTCTCATGGATAAATCTTTACCATATTCCATCAACTCGATCTGCAATCAACTTTCCTTGTTTTGGTATAAGGCCAGTTGTGTTGAGAGACTTGAACAAACGATCTGTAAAAAAGACACATGCTTAAGATCTTGAATTCTGGGACTTGTATCGATCAGAAGTTACTTTTCTAAAATGAATTTCAGAATGCAAACCTTTTTCCTCATCAGTTTCCTCGCCGTTGATCAGGCGATCAGATTCTGAGTCAATATTCAGTGCAAGATGGTCAGCTGATCCTTTTCGTATAATTCGCACGTGAGCAGCTGAAGGAACAGGAGATATTGTTTTCTTTCCAAGTGACCCCTGCATAAGCATCAAAAAGTAATTCGAGTCATTAAGAGAAACGTTTGCAGAGATGTACTGACACATTACTAGAGGCAAACCAATATAAAAAGACACTGCAAGAATGTCTTTGAGTCATTCATATTGCAAGTCGTTAAATTTCATAATTAACTCCTCCAAGATCACTTTATATTATAGGTCAAAGAAATAAATCTCTCATAAAGCAATATGGTACGACAAATTAGATCTATTACATGTCACCAGAACTAAAGCACCATGTACACATCTAAAATTTGAAACTTGAAACTATTTATAAGAGAAAAAAACACCTTAAAAATAAGGATTATGATTTGGTACACCACCAATGGAAAAAAATAATTCCATAAACGGCCTTAACATTGACAATGTCATTTATTTATTTTTGAAATTTTAAAATTGTTTTAATGATACTTGTGAAATTTTAAAATTGTCATCATCGTAAGGCCACTTGTGAAATTGCTTTTCTCTACTGGAGGTGCACCAAATAATAATCTTAAAAATAAACTCTTATCTTCCTCATAATCCAACTCAAACAAGCACCTTAAACTCTTTCTTTTTATTTTCCTCCTAAACATTCATCTTAGACAATTAAGAGCTGAACAAAATTAAAGTCACGATAAAAATATTAACAGAACAAACAAGTGTACATGTACCCAACCACAGACATCATAGTTACAAGATCAACATAAATCAAATTAATCATGGAAATGCCAAATGTGTAAGAAAACACTTACCACGTCTTCAATTTCGGATATTTCTGACCCTGTGGATGCAGAAGGTGCTTCAAAGATGCTCCTTTCCTGGACAATCTCAGGCTGAACATTCCTACCCTGAAGAGAACCTTCAAGTAACTTAACCTTAGTAGACAGTTCATCCACGGCATTTTGGCTGCCAAGCAACTTGGTACCTAGTTCCTGTGCTCTGGATTTTGAACTTTCAGCCTCTAATAACAGAGCATTCACCTGCTTTTCTAAAACAGGCAAAATTGCCCTCATACCAACAGAAGTTTGGCCTCCAATAAACTCTTTACCTCCCAACCCAACAACGATCTTTTCCAAATCAAATGTAGCCCCGGAAAGCTCCATTTTCATCACTTCCAATTCTGTCTTATTTCTAGCACATGTCTCAATTTCTTCTTTAAGATGCTCGATTTCAAAACTCTGTTGTGAAAGTGTAGACTGTAATTCTTCCTTCTCATACGAAAGTAAATTTATTTGATTCTGCAATTCAGTGAAACTGTCAATAACAGAAAACAGTTTCTGAACATCAGTTGAGCTATGGGTCTCCAGGTCTTCAGACTCTACAAGAGGAATTTCAATTGCACTTAGCTTGTCCAATAAAGTTCTCAACTGAGATGCTGACAGGAGCGGCTCCTCAGCTTCTACAACAATACAAAACAACTTAAGAGTGGCCATTAACAATCAAGTGCACAATATTAACAAAGACAAAGTGAGGGGGAGAAATTTACCTTTTTCTTTCATCAACAAATTATCGTACAATGACAAAAGTTCTGCCTCTTTTTCTTTCCATATGGCCTCTTTTGCTTGATAATCATCTACCTTAAGCCTCACTTCTCTGCACGAATCTTCCAATGCTTCCACATCACTCTCCAACTTGAAAACCCTACTTTGATATACGCCTCTTTCTTCAATAGCTTTCTCAGATGCTCTTCTGGTATCTTCCAATTCTTTCTGCAAAACATGAACAACTGAGACCACTTCTTTACTTGTGGTTTCGAAAAACTTCACCAAACTTTGAACTTTTCTAGTAGCAGTCAACAATTTCTCAGCTGTTTGAACATATCTATTACCACCAATTTCTTGCTGAGCCATGTCTTGTCCAATAAATTCTTCTTCTAGGTGCAAACGATGGTTCAAGTTTTCAAGCCCAGGAAGAGAGCTAAGTTCTGTAATAATGCTCTTAACTTCAAGGTCCAGATCTCCAATTGCATCTTTACAAGCAAAGAATAGAATTTCAACATCATTCTGTAACATAGCCATAGCCTTCTTTTCTTGTTCACGCATTTCCAAGTTTTTGACATTTTGTTTCAAGGATTCCATATTCTCGACCATGTTTTTTACCCCATCCTTTGTGGCATGTAATTTTTTTAACAGGGCTGCTATTAACTCGTCTAGCAAGCTTGAAAAAACTTCAAACTTATCTGCAAGGATTTTATTTCGTAATTGGATCCCTTCTGAAACCCTTAAAATGCACGAAGGAACATCATCAGCATTTATTGCATTTTCTTCACCATTCCCCACTCCAATGTTCATATTATTATCAATAGCATCAGTGAAACATCCTGCCAGATGAGCAATATCCTGAGATAAAGGAAAAATATACAATTAAAAATCAATAATTAATTACTTTTCTCATTCCAAAAGTTAAGGAAAGAAAGTGATTCAATGTCCAAAGTTAGGCAGGTGAAAGAAAAAGGAGGGTTACATGTACCTCCATGAGTGGGTAACCTTGCAGCATTTCACTTGTGTTTTTAAGGGTAAGATCCACATCTTTCAGGTGCTGCAAGTTCCTGTCAAAGCATTGTTTCATAGTAGACAACAAACTTTGGTCTTTGGCTAGTATTTGGAGATTATTGAGATGACCACTCAACTCTATGGATCTGCTAGCTGAGCTCTCTCTGCTTCCAGCCAACTCTTCCGTGCATGCAGTCAGTTTGGAATTAAGAGTTGATAACTCCCGATCAGCAATTATTTTTTCACTTTGAAGTGCAGAAAAGTCTTTTTCTGCCTTAAACAATGCATCTTCAAGTGATCTTATGGTTATCCTAGCATCAGCTAGCTCCCTAGCCTGGATCTCGGTTTCATCTTTTAGTTTCTTTAGCTCATTATCCAAGTTGGTCATTTCCAGTTGTGAATTGTTACTTTGTTCAGTTAATGAAGCGACAGTCGTCTCCGCCTGAGAAAGTTCACTTTCAAGTGACTTTATAGTGTTATATGCCTCAGAGAGTCTGCTAGCTTGAATAGCACCTTCCTCTCTCAGTTTCTCCATTGTCGTCTCTGAATCAGCTATGCTACCTTGAACCTCCTCTTTCTCACGGATAAGAAGTGAAATTTTATTTTCTGCCAGTGACAATGCCTCTTCAAGTGACTTTCTAGCCTGGATCTCAACATTAGCCAACTCCCTAGCCTGGATCTCAGTTCCATCTTTTAGTTTCTTCAGCTCATTCTCCAAGTTTGTTATTTCCACTTGTGAATTGTTACATTGTTCAGTTAATGAAGCAACACTCATCTCTGCCTGAGAAAGTGCACTTTCTAGTGACTTTATAGTGTTATACGCCTCTGAGAGTTTGCTAGCCTGAATAGCGCCTTCCTCTCTCAGTTTCTCCATTTCCATCTCTGAAGCAGCTCTGCTACCTTGAACCTCCTCTTTCTCACTGATAAGAAGTGAAATTTTATTTTCTGCCAATGACAATGCCTCTTCAAGTGACTTTCTAACCTCACAAATCTCAGCAAACTTGTTAGTTTGTGAATGAGTTTCTTCAACTGCTTTCTGCAATTCTATTTCTATATTCGTTTTGCCAAATTCCATGTCCCTCTTCTCTTCAACGAGTTGAGACAAATCGTTCTTGGCAACAGCCAATGCTTCTTCCAGCGACTTTATAGTTGCTTCAGCCTCTGCTAACTTGATAGTCAGGTTATTAGCCTCTTCCTTTACTTCCCTCAAGTCTTGTTCAGTCTGTGTCTTGGCAGTCAGACAATCTTCAATATACCCAGCAAGAAAGTTCAGCTTCTCCACAGGCTCTTGAAATGTGGAACCAACTGGAATGACAACACGATCAATCGATTCAAATACTCTCTGCAATATGCTATTGCTCTCAAATAAGAACTTCTCAAGTTGATCCTTTCCCTCAATCATAGCTGCAAGGTCACTCTCCAACTTCGGGATGCGCTCCAAATCAGTAGACAAACAGCTGATCTGATCCCTGCAGTTAGCAACTGTAGATACTTCATGCTGTAACTCAAGCCTCAGCTTCTCAATTTCTGACTTCTTTTCTTCGATAAGAAGTTTCAAGTTTTCCCGATCTTGAACTAAGCCCTTTCCCTTCTTAACTGCCATTGATAATTTCTCCCTCAGCAGACCAGATTTCTCCTCTGACCGTTCAAGATCCTTTTGCAGAACATCTTTCTCCTCCTTCAGTGCAAAAAGTTCCTGAGAAGATACTCTGAACTGATTTGACAGATCATTTAGCAGTGACCTCACCAGCGTATCTTCTTCTAGTATTTCCTCACAAAGTGTCAACTCCAGATCCCTAACATAGAACAGACTTTGAAGTTTTTCAAATAGCTCTGCTTCTACAAAAGTAGTCCCTAAAGATACACTAGTTTGTTCTTTCATCTTCCCAAAACACCTATCTATTAGCATGGGAAGATAAGAAGCTTCTTCAATCCTTTCTTGATCCTCCATTGTCACTCCATAAGCCTCTACCATCATCTGGATCATCTGATCTTTCTCTGATGAAAGTTGATGGACCTTCTCAACTACTTTTTCATATTCAGTTGAGAGGTTGTCCAACTCCGTTTTAATATAATCTTTCTCTGCTAGTTCGGTTGTAAATGAAGCACTTAGATGATCCTTGTCCAATGATATCTGATGTGCCTTTCCTACAATTTCCTCATATTCCTTTCTAAGAGTATCTATCTCTTCCTTGATGTAATGCTTCTCTTGTTGTACAGTCGAAAGTGAAGCAGTCAAATGATCTATCTCATAACAGGCAGCTTCCTTTGTTCTGGAAATTTCAGTTTGCAACATATTTATGTCATCTTTAGCCTGATAAAAGGATTCCTTGAGCCAAGCCAAACGAGAATCTAAATCAGAAAAGGTGGCATTTTCAGGTAAATCAATTGCAGAAAATGCGTCTTTCAATCTGTAGTAGTCCAATGAAGCTCTCTTCAGTTCATTTATTTCATTAGCGAGCCATCTAGCTCTTCCAACAATATCCACTGATTGGAGTTCTTCAGGTACATCAGTCTGGGATAGGATGTGTTCAAATGTCTCAATAATCAAGGTCTTTTCCGAGAGTGATTCTTGCAATGACACAACCAAACCTTCACTTTTCACCAACTCTTCCTTGTGTGATTCAGCAGCTTCTAGAGCATTGGACCTCTCATGTAATTCGGCTAGGCATTTCTCAAGCTCACTAGTTTTATCAGCAAGAGATTTCTTGAGAGCGTCTCGTTGCTGAACCAATCCCTTCCCTTTTGACACAGCCATACTCAGCTTTTCCTTGGTATTAGCACACCTCATCTTTTCCTGCTCAACCTCTGTCTTTGTTTTTTCAAGCTCGGATTTTAGAATCTCCACCATTGCTTTCTCACTTTCAACTTGCTCAAGAAATTTCCTATTTTGATCTTCTAGAGCCACTATGTTTTCAACCAGCTGTGCTTCCTTCCCCCTCAACTCAAATAACTCATCACGGGCAGCAACAAGTACGGTCCCAAACTCATGCACATCAAAATCAGACTCAGCCTTTGTCAAACACAGCCTAAGTTGATTAACTTCAGAAAGAAAATGGTTATACCTATCAATTAACGCCAATGTGCTTTTCTCAACAAGGTCAACCTGCTCTCCACCAGAATCACCCAACAAATCTCCTTGATCTATAACCGACCCAAGAGCAGCCAAAATCCTCTCCAGTGCATCCTCATATTGCTGGCTCTTAACCTCCTTACCTGTTTCTGCTTCAGGTTCTGAACTCATAAGTTTGGCATTCAGCCCTTCAATCTCTTTATCCTTCATATAAATCTCCCTTGAGAGTGTCTCCATCTCTTCCTGCAGATACCATAATCCTAACTAAGAACATGTAATCTAAAAACCATTGAGCAATACATGAAAATATTTATATATACATACACATGTATATAATTATACACTAAACCTTGTATTTGGTTTGGAGTCCCTCTTTTTCTTCAACAGCTTGCTCCAGCAAAGCGCGCATGCGTTCCATTTCTTGAACAAAGTGATTGTTATCATCATCTTCATTATTGTATTCACCATTATCGATTTCATCAGACTGTTTAGCTACCCCATTCAGTTTTTCATCTAAAATGGCATCATTTTCCCGTGCAGTTGGCGTTACAGCTTCCTTATTATCGTTATTCAACTCATCTGAAGCATCCATAAACATATCTTCTTTGCCATCAGCCTGAGATATATTAATAGATTCCATATCCTGAATTGATAAAGACAATAAATATAATTAAATAATATAGCAAACTAAAGATTTTCTTATTAACAACGAACAGAAGAGAACTGAGATTTCATTTCTTTTATAGAAAAAAATGAATACCCGATTAATCGAAGATTGAGTAGGAGCTCCAGAATCCTCCGAGTCGTTAATTTCAGACATTTCTACTGATCGCATATATTCATAATAATCAGGGATAGCTACTTCTTGAATAACAAGAATCAGATCTGCAAGAAAAACCCAGCGCCAAAGAATTTTTAGAATAATGAATACATAAAAACCCTAGAATCAAGGCGGAGTAATGGATTTGACCTTAATTCAAATCCGGGAGTGGATTGATGCAGTGATGAGATTCTGATTCAGCTTCGATACATAGGAGGACTTGCAGAATGCGCGCAGCAGATTAGTACTATATTTTGTTTTTTTTATTTATTCATATTATTTTGTTTTCATTTGTATTATTTTTTTTTCTTGTTTTTGAAATACAAAGCTATTTTGCGTCATTGTGTCGGTTTCATTGGTGCGTGTGACGAAGTTCGTCCAATGAGAATGCGATTGATGGTTGGTCTCGTAAATTGGAAAAACAATGCAATTAATAGGTTTGTAAAGTAGACACATTTTTTTTATAGAAAAAAAGGTATTATAACAAATACTAAAAAGGCACTGATATGATCATATTTTCAGAATCGGACCGGTTAGCGAATCGATTATATTATTGGTTTATTGGTTTAATCGGTCGAATTGATTCGATCGGTTGAAAGAATCGGACGACGTCATAATTATTTAAAAAATTAAATACAAATATAAAAAATATTTAATAAAAAATAATTTTTTATATCACAAGTCATATCAAAGCAAGTCATAACATATTTAAGTTAAAAACCATAAAATCAAGTGAAACAAAATGATTCAAATTAACTACAACATAATATTTAAGGTAAAACATATTAAATAATAAATATAATTATATAATTATAATTTAAAAAAAAATGGGGCTAAAAAAATCAATAACAAAATAATATTGTTTGTTTAATTTTTTTAAAAAAACAATCTCACATGGCTAAGAAACATAAAAGATCATCCCAACTAACTTCTATAAATAATAGAGGTAATTTGACATTCAAAATCATGGAGCCTTTTGGTGAGCATTGAGTGAACTATTCTTTTACTTCAATCAAGCTCGAATTTAGACTTCAATCGAGCTTCTAATTTTTTTTTGAGTTCAAGCCTTTTCGAGTTCAAGTTTCAATATTATATTTCGAGTTCGAGTTAAACTTCATAATTTTTAGCTCGTGAGTTTGAGTCGAGTTGAGTTTACTTTTAAATTTTTCAAGTTCGAGTTGAGCTCAGCAATACTCGAGTTCAACTTGGCTCGTTTAACAAACGACGTCGTTTGGTTTAATTTTTTTTAAAAAAAAAAACAAAAAATGCGGTTTTTTCCGGTTTTCCCCGATTTTTTCCGGTTTTCAGCCGGTCCGATTTGAACGGTTCAACGGTTCTAGCCGGTTCACTAGTAGCGGTTCAACCGGTCTAAATTGAACCGGACTAGACAACGATTCCCGGTTAAACCGATTGAACCGATCGATCCGGTCCGATTTTCAAAACAGAGGATATGATCAATTTCCAATTATAAAATCACTTCAATATTTTTAATTTTTATTTTAAAAAGCATTTTATATCCTCTATATTATTATTTAACGCGCATAAAAATAAATTTGATAATTTAGGATATTAATTTTATCGAAATTTATTAAGTTCAAAAGTAAAATTCATATAACCTAAATCTAGTTTAAATTGGATTCCCACACCCTTATTTTAACAGTTAAAAATAATCTACATCTTAAACATGATCTTAACCCAAATCTAAGTTGAATTTAACTTGAGTTCAATTCACATCATTTTTTCTCCCTCCAACACAACTTATTTTTCACTAGGATGTTATCACCGAGACATAGTTCTATCCAACCATATCCCCAACTCCTACGAATACTCAAATAAGAAAAGTATACAATAGAAAATCTCAAAACACGTAAAGAGAAGAGTAATCGTTATAAAAAAAAGAATGAGTCATATCTTTAGTTTGTGATAAATGAGATATTCGATTACAAATTTGTATGATAAAAGAACTTATAGAGATAAAAAGATAAACGTATCCGAAAGATATCATGTTTTGACAACGAATTTTCAAAATAAAAAAATATGTATTTAAAGTTATATATGTATATAATTTGTAAAAAAAAATCAAAAAATAAGATTAAAAAATAAAAAAATATATATAATTTTTTCAATCATCATCACAGTAGATAACACCAATAAATAACAACCGATTCGATTGATCTTGAGACTTGATGGCCAAGAAATAAAAAATAAAAAATAAAGGCGAAAATGAAAATGAGAAAGATTCATTAAAAAAACCCAATTTTTAATCTTTAAATATCTCACTCGAATTCTAAACGGATCTGATCCGCTCAACCTGTCTTAGATTCGTGCCTAACCTAGGTTTTAGGGAAATTTGCTTTCATGCCATGCCGTCTTTTAGGAGACTTCAATTAGATCTTTCGTACTTTCAATTTGAAATTTAGCCCATAGATTTTAGATTTCATTCAATTTAGTCCTGTTATATTTTAGGAATTAATAATTAGGTCTTATTTTAATAATTTGATAAATTTTGCCATATAGATTCTTAATATGTTTCAATTTAGTCATAATTTGGTCTAATTTATTAATTTTAATCAAGTTTATATATAAATTAAATGCTCAATTGCGTTTATATATGATAGAACGATATATCAAATCAATAGTTTTCTTTTTAAAAAAATAACTTCAATTTTTAACCAAGTGTTCCTCTTAATTTAATATACAGATTTTTACACAATAAGTCCATCAATTATAAATTTATTCTTTAAAAAACAAATAAAAATAAGTAACTCAAACAATATATTAGGCCAAGATGAAAAGTATACTTGATAGTGACCAATGAAACCGGTTAACTTGTATACCCTAACTCTCTCCGTATATTATATATATAAAGATGAACACATGATTTTATGTCATGGTATGAATTTAAGAAGTTTACTTATAAATATAGAGATAAGAAATTATACCTAAATTATACGAGGATTGAAATTTTCAGAGGATATACTCGCACTCTAATATCTTTTTTGATCAATAGAAATATAAAATTAATATTTGATAGTAATTTAATTAAGAGTTAAATAGCTGCCAACATGGCAAAATGTTGTCCAAAAACTGTACGATTATTCTTTGTAAGGATCGATGAGAGCACTGATTGTGCACTATACGCTGTCCTAAAACCAGTGAGGTCCATACGTGACCCTTTCCTCTTATAGTCTTTATACTATCTTAAGGAGGAAGGTTTAGCATAAAAGCCTGCAAATTAACGTCAAACTCTAACCCAAAATTAACACTGATTCAACCCAATATGATCATCTCCAACCACTCTTTCCATGTCGTCACTTTCGTTCTCTTTGTTTCATTCTCGTTTTCTTATGCACATTTACGCGATATCATACCTAAAGAGATTCGTTCGACGTCTTCCAACTCCGGTTCACTTTATATCAACATCAAAGCCAACCTCAGTGGCTATTTCCCCAAGGTTTTTGCATTTGGAGACTCGTATACCGACACTGACAATGCTCGATTATTGGGTGTTTTGAAAAGCTACGTTGGAAGAAACTTGAACATCAAGTTATTGGGTGGTAGATCAAGTAATGGTCGAATGGTGGTTGATTTTCTTTGTGATTCACTCAACATTCCCACACTAGAACCATATAAGGCCATTTCTTTAAACAAATTCTCCATCAAGGGTAACTCTGGGGTCAACTTCGCGATCGGAGGTGCCTCATCGCTTTCCGGTGACTTCTTTGCTAACCATAAGATTGGTCACATACTTATATGGAAAGGCATTCCTTTAGGTTTCCAAACACAAATCGAATGGTTCAACAGTTTCGTCACCGGAATAGCTTGCAAGGGGAAGTTCGAGGAAGAATGCAAGGCGGAAATGGGAAAGCATCTCATTTGGATTGGACAAATCGGCGTTGATGACTTCGTTCGTGTTATAGGGTCATCTGTTTCCATGCGGTGGCTTACAGATATAACCATTAATCAAATCTCCAAATTATTTACAGTATGTATAAATATGCACATTCGAAATGAAATCTATTTACACAATTGTGAAAATGCTTACATACAAACTTGGTTTTTTTGTTCTTTGATCGTATGTTGCAGACGGTGTTGGACAGCGGTGGAAAGTTCTTCGTGGTTCAAGGGCTGCCACCGGTGGGATGTTGTCCTCTGGCCAAGCTATTGACACCACAATCTGAAAAAGATGAAATGGGCTGCTCATTAAGTATTAACAGAGCAGTAATGGCTCACAACGAGCTCCTCCAGAAGACATTGGAAGACTTTAGGATAAAGCATGGAGCTGAGGTTACAATTTCATATGCTGACTATTACAATGCATACAAAACAATCATGAGAAACCTTTCCGGCTTCGGGTTTTCCGATGGATCCCGAGCATGTTGTGGCGTTGGAGGTGGACTTCTCAACTTTAACTTGCACAACCTTTGTGGCATGGCCGGCACCACCGTGTGTGAAAACCCCTCTAACCATGTTCAATGGGACGGATTTCATTTGACGGAAGCAATGCATAAAGAAATAACTCAACTGTTCCTCCATGAAGGCTTCTGCAAACCATCCTTTTATGATATAATCAGTAGGCAAAGAAACTTACGTGCATAGATGACCGGCCAATCTTTCATGGAGTATGTCAATTAGTAAATTAAGATGTAATTAACACATAAGATAAAATCAATGAAAAAGTTGGACTAGAATTCAATTTTATTACCCAAAAATTCATTCTTGTGTTTCCAAATGTTTCCTTAGGTACAGAAAAGACAGTAACTTCGCATATTTAAAAGTAGTAAGCCTGTGATACAGTTGTTTACATTCCGAATATACAAACTTCGTTTTAAATGACAGTGATATTATCACCATAGCACATAGGCCAATAAGATACCAGCTGGTTGAGCTGCAAAATTATCTAGCAGATGGGACTAGGCTGCCATTTGAAAAATCGGGGCTTTCGGTTTCAAGAAAGCTTTCAAGTAGAGTTTTCCTTGAAGATTGACCCCTGGAACTACCACAAACTAACTGTGCATTGCCTTCATCCCCTTTCTCGATTTTCACTGCATCTTGTATAGCCAAAACGATCTCCTGCATCTTGGGGCGAGAATATCCGCGTTGTTCAACGCATTGGATAGCCACTTCAGCAATCCTCCAGATTGACTCAATCTTGACATTTCCTACCAGATATGGATCTACAATGCTTATTACATCGCCTTTGCGTATTAAGGATCTTGCCTGTGAAAAAATGACAAGCGGCTCAGATTTCAGTGCCTCATATATTAAGAAATGGATGAAAGTTGAAGAGAAATGTACCCAGTGAACAATGTTAAGTTCAGGACCAAAATCTTCAACTGATACTGGTTTCTTTGCGGAGATGAGTTCCAGAAGAACAACCCCGAAACTATACACATCACTCTTTTCAGTCAGTTGTTGACTTGCATAGTACCTGTTACAACATTAAAGATGATTGGTTAAGCACATGATTCTTTTTTTCAAATCAATTGTTAATGAATGGTAAACCTATATAGCTTACTCGGGATCAAGGTAACCGACTGTTCCTCGTGCCACACCTGATACATGGGTTAAATCTTCCTCAGCTTGTCTTGAAAGTCCAAAATCAGACACTTTTGCTCTCATGTTAATGTCTAGAAGAATGCTGCTTGTTTTTACATCTCGGTGAATTATACTTGGGTTGCAGCCAGTGTGCAAGTATTCAAGGCCTACAGCAATCCTAATTTATGTTTATGCTTAGAAAAAAAAACAAATACCAATGCATCAATTATTTAGATCTTCAGTACTAAACCTTTAGCTGCATCTTCTGCAATTCGTAAACGAGAAAGCCAATCCAATGGCTTCTGGTTGACTGAACCTGCCATCATGTCCATATATTCTTAATTCTTTTGACCACAATAATATCCTCAAAGGGAGAATGATGGAAAATAGACGGTTTGATTTTTTGGTAGAGAAGCAAACCATATATGTGATCCCTCAAAGTTCCATTGTGCATATATTCATAAACTAATATACGTTGATGAGCTTCGTCACAATACGCGATTAGAGGAACCAAGTTTCTATGATGAATTCTTGATAAGAGGGCAACCTGCAAGCATGCTTCAGTCATCACTTAATCATGTCGTATCTTAACTATTCCTCCCATACAACAACGAGAGCACTTGGGTTGAGGGGATTATGGGACACTACCTCAGTCGCAAATTGCTTATTCAAATGGCTAGATGAATCACCCATTGTCTTGACTGCAACCTCCTTTCCGTCTTTCAATTGGCCATAGTAGACGGATCCAAAACTTCCTTCGCCGATCTTTTTGCTGAAATTGTTAGTTGCTTCTTCTAGATCAGACAGTGAGATACAGTATGCCACACCTTCGTCCAGTAAATTCCCGCCCCGTGCTATTGAACAGGCCGTTGATTGTTTGGTGTCAGGTTGCAGGGTACCTGATGGAAAACAATAATGATTTATAGAAAATACTGAGGTCTGCACATTGGATAAATGATAAACGAGTAATTAAAGTGCTCGCACCATTTTCATCGCATTTTCGGTGAGACATCTTCCTTCGGAAATTGCGCAACAAAATTAAACTTGCCAAGAAAAGAATTAATAAAACCGCCAGAACTCCGATTGAGGCTCCAAGTATCAACTTAAAACGCAGTTTTCTCTGTGCCTCATTATGTAGTCCAGGATTACCTTCATATCTACAACAGAAAGGTATATATTTTAATAATAGCTGTTTATAAAGTTGCTGTGTAGGATTACATAGAGCTTAAGGTGTAATGCGCTACAACGTACTCACTCGAAATTTATTTTCTTGCTTAGCAATGCCGCAGGAATTTCCCCACAAAACAAGTTGTTCTGTATGTTCCTGAAATATATAGATTACCCTAAATTATCTGCTTCTAATAGCATTTTTGTTAAAAAAACAAAGCATATAATTCTGTTGAATGATCTGTAAATAGGAGATAACAAATCAAGATTTCTACTTACAACTCTTGTAAGTTAGGCAGACGGCCAAGGTCCGAAGGTAGTGAACAGTTAAGTTTATTGTTCTCCAGATGTCTGCAAGCACCGGTAAAGGATGTGAGTTGGGACAAGCTCACGAGAGAACAAGTACCAAAGTGAAATGCCAACCCTGAATTCCAAAGCAAAATATTGCACAGAGTGAAGAGCTTACACAATTTTCAGATTGATAAGGCTACTCATATCAGGTAATGGCCCTATTAAGGTGTTGGAGTCCAACCACCTACAGAAGATGGGAGCTTTTCAGCGGAAGGTAATCGGACAAATTCATGAAGATTAAATCCGGGATGTTGAAGAATAGGACTTACAACTCAATCAATCCCTCCATTTGATTAATCTCGGATGGAATTTGGCCCTTCAGATTCTGTCCTGACAGTGCACTGTTCATCAGGTTAAAAAAATCCTTCAAATTCCATGAACAAAAGAGTAACTGGTCTCAAAAGAACTTAACAAGGTTGTTTTAACAATCAAAGGTAATGCAGTAAAGTGTGATATAGTTATGAAATGAACAGAAACTTTACCGAGTTCGAATGCATTACATTTTATTTATTCTTGGAGGTGTTGGACTGCAATTTACCCATGCCCAGGGAGTAGGAACACAAGGATCACCTCCTTCATTTGCCCATACGCTTCCGGCAGCAATATTCCGAATGGCATCGAGAGCAGCCACTGGCAAATAGAGAAAATAATGAGTTATTAGCTCACTGAGTCAAGCAAATTCCTTGAACGTACATGTACGATGTGCAATACGATCAAAAGTTTAATAAAATCAAAACACCGCAGGGCCATCTTACCATCTCGCCTGTCAGTTTTTGCAGCAATCTGCTGGTATTTATTTATCTCAATTGCATTAAGGAGTGGTCCTCGAGTAGAATCATATGTCTTGGAAAAAGTGAATGACAGAACAAAATCGAGAGTAACGTTCATGTAACTCGGTTCATAAAGCGTGTAGCTCCCGTTGCTATTCTCAGCTATATTTACCACAGCATTGCTATAATCAGGGATGTAGGGCTCTCGCAATCTGAATTTTCGGGTTTCGTTCGGAGCCAAATCTTCAATTTCAGCAAAGTATGCATAGGCTCGAGCATTGGCGGGGAAGCCTTCGAGGTTTAATCTGTAGCTAAGATTTCCTTCAGTGCCAACAACTGCCGTTTGCATCACTTTAACAGGCGGATATTCTCTGGTTCTTATATCAATGTTCTTCGACGTTTTGATTCTTTCTGTTCCACGAGCCACTCCTACAAGAAAATTTTGCCTCCTATCGAGATCAGACTCCCAAAATCTGTCATATGGATCATCTGGATACCTATAAATGCGAATTCGGTTTTCATAAATCAACACAGATGTCCATCAAATACCTTGCAAATGAAGCAAAACATCAAACAGTTCTTAGATACCATATCAGATCATACTTTACCTCACTAAATCCTTTGTTAAAGCACCAAAGTTCACTCTAGCTGCCACATTCAAGAAGAAATCATTCTCAAAATCTGTAGCATACATGGAAAGATTCAAGGGGCGAAGCTCGAGTGTTGAAATGAAGGGAAAACCAGTTGTTGCACAACATAAGCAAACTTCAATGGAATCTGATGGAGCCCTTATGATCATTTCATTCACATATGTTTTGGAGCCCTCTTGAATTGTCACAGTCCCCCACAGGGTCGCATCTAAGTAGAGCTCGAATTTCGGGTATGCATCGACATCTCCAGAGCTTACATACTGAAACGTTGCACGAACAAGGTACCTTCTTCTCTCCCTGGTCCTCAAATTGTAACAATACTTCTTGTTGTCCGAAGGAAAGTCTCTTCGAGTTTGATACTGCACCGAGTTACCGGTCGGGGTTTCGACCAATACTCTTCTCCCGTGTTTCATGATATCCATGTCTGAACTCCATGAAAGCTCAGTACTTGGATCAGTGTAATCAACTGTGCTTCCGCAATCTAAACTGATAAACTCTGCAGGCCACAATCAAAATGATGATGATGATAATACACAATTTTTTTCCATTTTAGCATCTTTATTTCTAAGATTTATTGCTTTATGCTTAATTCATAAAACCATATTACATGATAAACCAAAAAAAACATACCTGAAACTTGGGATACAACAGAGGATATAAAGTAGAAATATAGTATAAATAACTGTGAAAATAAAGCCATTGAAGATCATCAACAAGGCAAAACTGATTCTTTTGGTGTTTTATTTTTTAGACTAACAATTTTGCAGTAAATGAAAAGGAAAATGTGGGTTTTTATTCAAAATCTTACCCATTTTTACTCCACTAACCTTCCACTTTCCCCCCCCCCCCCCTGATTGATGAGTTTTTCAGTTTATGCAATGTACATTCATGTCTCTTTCTTTTTTATTTTCTTTTTCTTTTAGATTTTGGAATTTCCTTTCCCCAAGAGCTACTTTTCAGAAGAAAAAAGAAAATAGTAAATTTATTATTTATATAAAAAAGAGTTAATTGCACAGGCTATCTCAAACTATAATTTTAAATTTGTCCCCCAATTTTAAACTCCTTTATAACAATTTCTAAACTATATTTTCCATCCTAAATTAATCCTTAAAATTTTAAAATATTATATATCAATCCTCACACTATCGATATCATTTCATTTTAACATTTTTGTTAACCTGACATTAACTATATTAGTTTCTAAAAATCCTATAAATTGAATATGTGATATTCTAAAAAATTCTCGAGATCTTTAAAAACAAATTATATTTTTAGAAGGTTACGTGTTCAATTCCCAAGATCTTCAAAATCCAATACGTTAAGAAAATAATTAAAACAAAATGATATTGATAGTTTGGAGACTGATTTAAAATGTTCTAAAGTTTATGGACTGATTAAGAATGAAGTCATAATCTAAGGATCGATATAAAATATTTTAAAATTTAAAGATTAATTTAAAATGAATGTTATAATTTGAGGATATCATATGCAATTATATCTATAAAGAAAGAGTGTGGCACTAACAAAAGCTAAAGATAAAGGATTAAAGTATAAAAAATACTAATTACAAATACCGAATACGCATAAAATGTATCGTATTTATTATAATGTTTTTATTTTATATTTTTACGTGGTCCCTGTAATTACTGTACCATCGAAAAAAGTTAATGCTGCTTTTATTACTATTTAATGTGGGACCGAGTCTGGAGAAAGGTTGGCCATGCAAAACTCATATGCAAAGAAGGTAAGAGAAAGCGATAATAATTAGGGTCAAGTACACAAATGATTCCCCAACTATTAGATAATACTTTTTTGAGTCCTTTAACTATTAAAAGTTATAAAATGGTCTCCCATTATAGGGAGTTACTTTGTTGAGTCCCTCGACTTTTAAAAGTTACAAAATGATCACCTGACTATTCATTATTATCCAAATTCGTCTTTTTTCGTTTAAAAATTAACGACAATCTGAACTGGAAGTTAACTTGCTATATGAAATATGATATTATAATCTCGAACGACTATCATATCTCAATCAACATGTTAACGTCCAGCTCATACGATCGTTACTTTTTTAACAAAAAGTGACGAGTTTGTAACATAATAAATAGTCGAGTGACCATTTTGTAACTTTTAATAGTCGAGAGACTCAATAAAGCAACTCTTTATAGTTGAGGACCATTTTGTAACTTTTGATATTCAAAAGATTCAATAAAACAATATCCTATAGTTGAAGGACCATATGTATATAATAATTAAATATCACGATTATATTTGAATTTATATAATACAAATGATCTGATAGATAGATCGATATAGAATTTTATATTAGGAGAGATAATTTATAATATTTTAGGGGATAAAAACATGTTATCAATACAAAATATAAAATATATGTAAATTTAGAACTCGTTGAGTGACTTCAACAGTAAAAGTGAGTATTGCTCTCCCTAGAGGTATCATGTTTGAATAGTTACGTTTGCAAGGTATATGTACGTTATTAATGACTAAAAAATATTCTGAACAAATACTATATTATAATAACCTCAAATTATTCAAAAAAAAAATATGAGAATTTAAAATTTTTGAGAAATATATCAAAATTTATATATATATAATAAAAAAAATATGACATTATTTAATTAAACTTTTAATAACTTTAGATTTTACTTTTGCTTTTGTTTTATACCCAACTTTACTGCAAACTTTTTGAAGCTTGTGGGGCCAAAAAGTAAGAAAGATGAAAGCAATTTTCATGCCAACAATGTTAATTTATTAAAGAGAAAATAATCTCAGTGACAAAAAATGTCTTATAATATATGATTTTAACCAATTTTTTTTAGATTTGCCAAAATGACCAACTAAATCGCAATGCGATCTCCGGTATCGCAAATCAGTTTCCAGATTCGTAACGCGATTCTGACTATCGCATTGCGATTTCCCAAATTCGCGTTGCGATTTTCCTAATTCGCAATACGAATACGTAAATCGCAACGCGAATTTGGAAAATCGCAATGCGATTACGTAAATCGCAATGCGAATACGTAAATCGCAATGCGAATACGTAAATCGCAATGCGATTTACATAGCGCCATTCGTATTAACGCGTATTTTTTTTTTCAAATTCCAAACACGAATATATTAATATATCGGAACACTGAACCGTCCACAGTATATCCCGTAATCGCAACTCATAACCTAAAACCCTAAATCACAACTCAGTCTCATCTCCATCTCTCACTCTCTAAGGCAACATCCGTCCCCATCTCCGACGAAATCAGTCCCCACGACGATATCAGTCTCCATTTCCGACGAAATCATTCACGGTCAGAAATGGAAAATCAACCAAATCAACCACCGAGGGTTAGTTTTTTTAATTATTTTTATTTTAAAATTTTTGCATTATTATTAGGTTTTTCATATTGAAATTGATGATAAGTTTACTGGTGTTTTCAATAATAGATTAACCATTTCACTTAGATTGCTTATTATATTCATTCGATTGCTGCCAATATTGCTAAACTGTTTAGTCTTTAACCCTGTGAAGTTAGTATTTGTCTTTGTTTTGTCTTTTGGTTGGAGTAATGCAATCCATTCAAGTTTCTTTCAATTTTAGTATTTGAAACCGAGAATGACTATTGCAATGCGATTCTGTCGTTGCGATTTTCATTTCGCGTTGCGATTCTTGCGTTGCGATAGTCATTTTCGTGTTGCGATTTTCATTTTCGTGTTGCGATTTAAAGATTTAGAAACTATTCTTCTTCTGCAAATTGAAACTTGAATGAATTGCATTACTTCAACCAAAAAACAAATACTAAATTCACAGTGTTGCAAATTTAAGTTTGAAGAATAAACTACTACTCTTTATGTTTATTGTTCATATCTTCACAGTGTAGTTTTTGGTATATCTAAATTGGTATGTTTATTGTTTTTGCAGAACTTTTATTCGACTCAATTGACCTTAAGAAATAAAGTAAGCCTGGCCAAAACAATTGCGTCGAAGCTTTCACCTGCACAAAGAAAAATATTTGAGGATACTTGCTTCGGGCCATGGCTGAAAGTACAACATCCGGGTGGAGATATTATGTTGACCCATCTGTTTCTTCAAACCATGACTAGTGATCTACCAGAGACTATACAACATCGTGATGAAGAGATATGGTTTGATTTTCCACCGGCGTATACGTGTTTTGGGCGGGAGGAGTTTTGCTTAATCACCGGTCTATGCTTCGGACACGATGGTGTAGATCGGTACACTAGACATATTACCCGCCTATCATGGTTTTCCCGGGTTTTTCCTGAGCTGTCAATGGAGAAGTCGAATTTACACGTGGAAGACTTGACGAGATTATTGAATAAGAAAGATGGTTTTACTCAGATGGATGACGTCAATGTTGTCTGAGTATGCCTTCTAATACTTTTGCAAGCTGGCTTTTTAGGCAGAGAGGCCCGACAACCTATTCTTAATGATCTGATTAAATTGGTAGAGGACCTAAATGCATGGAACCTGTTTCCGTGGGGTTCGTATCTATGGAGAGCTACATGGAATAAGTTGTCGTCTGCCTTTAATGATCGGAAAAGTTTGCGTGGCGATGGTTCCAAATACACTTTGTCAGGCTTTATTTGGGCCTTTAAGGTAATAATTTTTATATAATATTTCCAAAATTATAATTAATTCTTTAACAATTACTAATGTTTGTTATTATATTGTTTGTAGATTTGGATATTTGAGGCCTTTCCCGCCATGCAGACATATGCATTAAAAACTTCTAATGATATTCCTAGGGCTATTTCCTAGAAGAGGAAACGATCCTTGCAGCAATGGGAAGATTTACTACCGTATACTATAATAAATAATGTAAGTTAACACAAATACTACCATATGTTTATAAACAAGTTATTACTAGTACACGTTTAACTTTGTTTGAGCTTTTATATTGTTAGGAGGCCAACACTCCATTACAGAGGTTGACACCCACGGAAGCTGAGCTTGCCACTGATTGGTGGCAAGCTAGTAAGCTTTTTTTTGATGGCACGGATGATGAGCAGCCACCACTTCGAGAGCCATCACCTCACCCAGAGCCATCACCTGATCGACCCGAATATACACCTCCACAACGAGAGTCATCACCTATTATGTCACATCATCGAGCCTCTTCTCCACCATCATCTCATGATAGGCGACCGGCAAAGATGACACGACGTTTATCTCCATGTTCTCCACCTCCACGGGATGAGTTAGGGGAGTTACGTAATGAGGTCAATGCCTTGTATGAGGAGGTCGGTACTTTACGCGATGACAATGGTGCATGGTGTGTTGAGGTGTCTACTTTACGTGGTGAGGTAGCAGCTCTACGTGAGATTGTAGCATCGTTGCAGAACGAGGTTCATACTCTACGTAACGAGGTAAGTTTAATATTTTTCATATTTAACTTGATGATAAATTTACTCATAATTTCACTTAGATTGCTTAGTAAATTCATTCTGTTGCTGCCAATACTGTTTAACTGTTTATTCTTTAACCCTGTGAAGTTAGTATTTGTTTTTTGTTATCTTTTGGTTGAAGTAATGCAATCCATTCAAGTTTCAATTTGCAGAAGAATAATAGTTTACTATCGCAACGCGAAAATGACTATCGCAACGAGAGAATCGCAATGCGAAAATGACTATCGCAATGCGAAAATGACTATCGCAATACGAAATGAAAATCGCATTGCGATTCTCTCGTTGCGATAGTCAAATTCGCATTGCGATAGTCATTTTCGCATTGCGCTAGTCATTTTCGCGTTGCGATTTTGTTGTTGCGATT